TTGGTTGGTTCCGTCCTGTGGGTGAATGCTTTATCCCCCTTTTTTTTGGGACAGTGTCTTCGTCATGTTTCCCCGTTCTTGGGGTTCTACGTGACTTCTGGTCTCTGGTGCGCCTTTGTGTGCCTTCGGGACTAGTGTTGGCTTCTGTGTTCTCGAGGGTTCGGGAAGGTTTTCGCTACTTACCGCATTATTGGAACGTCTGTCCGCTCCAATCTGGGTCACCATTTTGGGCTACTTGTAGCCCGGTTGGGCTGCTTGTGGCCAGTGGCCCGGTTGGGTACTTTTTGGGCTCTGTTTTCGCTTCGTTGGCTGGTTTTGGTTGTTCCTGCTTCCTCTTTTGGCTACTTTTTTAGTGCAGTAGTCCTGGTTGGCGCCTTCCCGCAAAGAGGGTTGTGTGGTTCAGCCAGCGTGTCATGTGCATGCGCCGTGGAGTTTGTTTTGGTCTCTGCGGTGTGTTTCAGTGCTGGTGTTTTGCGCCCTTTATTCTCAAGTGCTTCGCCTCTCGCGCTTCTTCCTTGCCCCTTCGCTCCGGGTGTGTCCTGGTTTCCAGCTGTGGGGAGGACGCCGAGGTTTTCCCTGTGTCATGGGTGTGGGCTGCTTCCTTCGCCTCTACCCTGCTCTCCTGCAGGCCCGGCTCTGGCGTCTTCACCTGGCGGTGGTCCCAGGATCTTCTGGGCACGGTTGAGTCGTGTCCCGATCATGCCTCCGTTCGACAGGTGAGTTTCTGCGGTCTGGCGTTTTTTGGCCGGGCGCTGGATGCGGAGATGTTTATATACCTGTCTTTATTTAGGTGTATTTTTGTACGACAGACCCTTCGCACACCAGTGACTCTCCCTTTTTCAACCCTTCCAGTCCCACTCATGTGCATGTCCAACCCATGCCAGAGTCATTCAGGGGACCCAACATTTTTTGTGTTATGAGGTGTGTGGTTGTGGTGCTGGTTATGTACTCACCTGGTAGGGCTCTCCTGGTTGTGCTTGCACGGTTTGAGCTCTGGCTCTTGGGTCCCACCTATCTGGAAGAACTTGTGGGATAGTACCAGTGGAGTGCAGTCGTGCTATAGGTACAATCGGGGAAACACTGTATAACCATCAGAGGTCTGCGGTTGTTACACGACCTACTTGCGAGCGAGCATACGTCATATTGCCGGTATGTCCGTGGATTTTCAGGGCATACTAGCCTGTTTTCGAATAGAAGTTCCGGCCCATCCTGGTTGTGCCGCAGGCATGTGAGCCTGCGGGCTGCTCCAAGCAGCTGCCTGGTGGGCCACCCTCTGGCCGGTCTAGCCTAGCCTCGGGCCAGGCTTGGGGATGTAAATGAGCTCCCAATACCCCATCCAGCAGGTATCGAGCGGGGTTCTCCGCCGTTGGTCGCCCGGTGTGCAGGTTTCTGGGCCTGCTGGGTTCTGTCGTGTCTCCATTGGCCCTGTCTGGGGTCTGCCTACTTCGTTCTCTGCCTTAGCAGACGCGAGTTGCTATTTACATGTTGCAAGTTGCGGTGGTGCCTGTTGCTGCTGCTGCACGTGTGCATTGGTACCGTGTTTCGCGGTGGCGTGTCCTTGTTCCTGTGTCCAGTTGTGGTGCGGCACTTTGTTGCTGTTTTGTGCCTAGGGTTTGCGTATGGGGGTTTGCTTGTTGTTTTTCGTGGTCTTCGGGTCCCTGGCTTGGCCCTCTCATGTGCGTGGGGTTTTTCTGTCCCTGCCTGATTGTCCAACCCTGGTTGGTTTTCCTGGGGTTTTTGTGCTTCAGCTCTTTCATCCTGCCTCTCCCCAGTCGTTTTCCTGGCATCTCCTTTGGTCGGTTTTGCCTGCACTTGCTATTACGTTGAGGAGGGGGGGGTCAGTTTCCACCGCTTCATTTCCATTTGCGTTCCCTTGTTTCCTCCTCTGCCGCAGGGGTGTTCTGCGTGTGCTCCTTGGCTTCTTGGGCATTTTTTCAGCCTGTGTCCTGTGGTGTGCTTCTTTGTCTCAGTTTGTTGTAGTTGCTCGTACACCTTGGTTCGGGTACTGTTTCTGGCGGCAACCCTTCCGCTTTCTTTGGTTTCCTAGCTTGCCTTGCCGGTTGTTGTCCGATGCGATGTCTCGCATCGGACCCGTCATTTTTCAACTCCTGGCGGGCTTGCTTGCCTTGGGGAGTTTTTTCTGTTCAGCAGACGTTCCATCTCCTTGTGCCGCCTGGGTTTCGGTGGTCGCGCCCAACATCTTCCCGCGGCTCCGCCTTTTCCTGGGCTCGATGGGGCCTTGTTGGGGCTGCTTACGTTCTGCCTCGCAGTCTCGCCTCCGGTTGGTGGTCAGGTGGCTTCGTGGTAGGTGTCCCACCTGCGTACTTCTCTTGGCGGCAGTATAGGGTATTTAGGCGGTCCTTCCATTTCCTGTCCCTTCTTAGGTGGCTACTTTTGTTAGCGTCGGCTTCGTTTTCTGGTGGGGGTTGGGGGTCGTCGTCTTGCTACATACTGTCGCCTCTTTTCGTGCGGCGCTGCTGGAGCCGCTTCGGCTTGCTTTCGGTCTTGGTGTTGCTTCTGCGCCGTTAGTAAGCCGTCTTGTGCAACGTTTCACCTCCGGCCTGTTCGTGCGCCGCTTGCACCATCCTGGTCTCTGGTCAGCGTGTTCTGTTTTTTCCTCGGTTGGAAGTGCCCCTTCGATTCCATTTTTTTTTTTCGTCGGCTCTTTTTCTTTTGGCATTTGCCTCTGGGGGTCGGGTCGCTGAGTTTTCTTGCTCCTTCAATTTTAGCGTTTTGGTTGTTCGGCAGCAGCAGTCTCCATCTTTTCTGCCGCGGGGTGGGGCTGCTGCATTCTGGAGGGGTCCATGATTTGTTGGTGCTTGGTTGGTCGGGCCGGGGGTGTTTCGTGTTTTGTGTTCAGTGGCGGCCCTCCGCTGTTGTTTGCATGCCACGGCGTCTGTGTCCGGGGCGCGTTTTGTGTTGATCCGGTTCTGTTCCCGGTTTGCAGGTGATGGTGTCCCGTGTTGTCAGCCGTGTTCTTGCGGCTAAGCTGCCTGTGTTCTTCCCTCATGCCCATGGCGTCCGTGGCTTCGCTGCCATCTGAGCGACGTGTCCTTGCGGTCATTCAGGCACGGATCTTTGGTGTTCGTATGGGGGCCTTGCTGCTCGTTGTTCTCGTGTTGTTCCCTGGACTTTTCGGGGCTGTGGCGCCTTGGGTTGGCGTTTGTTGCCGGTTGTCTCGCTTCCGTAAAGGGGTGCGTGGTGTCCGCTTCCCAGTTTCGTCCCTTTGACCTTCCTCTGTGGGTAGTTAGCTCTGAGGAGCCGACGGGGCTCCCCCCAGAAAACCACCACTGAATGTAATGAAATGCCCTTTTCTGGGTGAGACCCGGAGGCTCCCTGGCAACCCTCCCTCCCTTCGGTCGGCGGTTTTCACGTGTTTTGACATCCAGCATCAGAACTGATGGGTGGATAGCCGGCGTGGGAGGTCTGCGGCTCCCCCTTCCCCCTCCTGGGGAGGGGGGAGCTGCACAGACAGCGGCGCGGTGACGTGTGACATCATACTAGTTTGCTTGTTTTGTGTTGGGAAGTTCTATCCACTAGTTCGGCTTTAGGTAGCAATTTTAACCAGAATAGGGGTTTGTTTTGGAATGCTTACCTTTCTGGATGCCTGACCCGGTCGATGGCAGACATAGAATGCTTCCAACCACAAGAATGTAACAACTCTTGTATATATCTCAAAAAAAAAAAAAAAAAAAAAAAAAAAAAAAAAAAAAAAAAAAAAAAAAAAAAAAAAAAAACAGGAGGTTTCTATAGGCCATTGCTCCCCTTGCCTCTCTGAGGGGGCCAGGTTCTGGCCATGGTAGACCCTAGAACTCCATACACATGACTGATGTCAAGGTCTGACATTAGCATATCAGCCTGGTAAAGCTCCGGGGAGCCTCCGGGTCTCGCCCAGAAAATGGCGTTTCATTACATTCAACGCTGGTTTTTTATTTATATAAAGTATACCCTAAACATATTCCCTAAATCATTACAATTATTATAATTATCCTATATTTTGTTTTTTGGGGGGGATATTTTTTCTTGACTTCATTTCTACACACATTGACCTACATACTTTCATATACTGCCAAACAATGTTTATTACAACATACAAGTAAATTCACGAATTAAAACTACCTTATTCATTGTCAATAACTTCAACTTTAATTATATCTATAACTAGAATTTCAACTTACTCCAGTATCCAAAAACCTAGTTTCTAACCGATTCTCACCATTTTTTCATATTTATATAGTGTGCACAGCTGTCTGTTCTACAATCCCTATTGAATTGATTTTTCTTAAATTCTAAGTGTTTGAAGTTATAGATTTTTGTTGTCAAATTTGCGGATATTTCAAATGCCATATTGACAATTTTTTTTTACAGTAAACTATACTGAAAACCTATATTCTAAATATATGAAAATGAAGATCATATGCTATTCTGAGAGCATAACAATACCAAATGAACAGTTGGTGATATATTTATATTTTGCAGCCAATTTCAAAATCTGAAGTTTTCAATATTCAATTTTAACATTTTTTATTTTCTTGTTTTTCAAGTTACCCTGGTATCATTTATACAAAGTTGGAACATTTGCCTAGTCGATTATTCACAAAACATTTGAAAGAGTGTCAGAAAATGTTAAAAATTGAGTTCAATGTCACACATCATATGAGGTTTTGCACAGTTAAAGAGTTAAGGGTCCATTATCCTTTTAGTTTGGCCAGGGTTTTTTGCGTTCACAAGAGCTCTTATACCCACCATCCCAGCCTTCTCTGCTGGTCACAGCTCTCAAATTCCCTTGACTTTCCAAAGAACAGGTACCTGTTCTAGCCATGTGCAATTTCCCCAGTGCAAGTACTGTTGACCACTTGTTGCTCAGAATAAAAATGTTTACCAAATATTTACACTAAATAATATGAAAGAAAAAACTTTGATGTAGATTCTACATGAAAAATCTAGTTTTAAACAAAATCAATACATAGAATGTATGAAATATATGTAATTGTGCATACCTGTGCCAATCATAAGGATAATGACAGAATGGAGAAGTTCAGATGCAGCAACTTTAGTTTGCCGATCACTTGAATTTAGTGCTAAATCCACAATATGGGGCAGAAGATCATCTGAGAATACAAAAACAATCAATGTTGATACATGATATCTTTTATTTTGTCTTAAATACTTTCAAGCATAGTCTATGAAAATTTATCAAAACATTATAAACTTTATATTTACAGGTCATATTGGTTTCAATTCCAAAGCAACACACATGTACCACAATACCTCACTGTGGTAGTAGCAGTGCTATGGGATAATTAAAGGCATTACCTATTTTGTTAATAATTGTGGTAGTCTTGATAACCCTCCCCATCCCCCTCTAAACCTCTGCCCGTTTATCATCCTATGTTTCTATTGCTCTTACCATTTTATTTCACATTTTGTGTTTCATTCTTATTTCTCTTCGTAACAAAATAGCAATTTCTTTATGTGTGATCCCAAGCAATTCAAGTTCTTGTTCAAAAGTTCTTTGCACATGGAACAAAGCTGCAAACTTGATTCTCAACAGTCATGAATCACACTCAATATTCATAACCATGCAAGCTAATAATCACACACAACACCTCATCTAATCAATTATCTAAATCATTATATGACCTTCCTCTCTCCACTCCACTTGTCACTGAAGTGACAGCAGTGGTCAGCACTGTCAGTTAACAACCAAAAGGCCCCAGGATTTATTCCAGTGAAAGGCCAAAATGTTTGGTTACATTTCCTGCACCTTGTGTGTCTGTTCACCTGGCAGTAAATAGGAACCAGGTGCCAGATTCACAAAGCAGTTACGCAAGCACTTACGAACCTGTACATCTTTTCTCAATTTTTGGCGGATTTGTTTACAATTATTAAACAGTAAATGAGCTCTGAAGCACCAGAAGGCTGTTCATAACAATAACCACAGTTGATTATGAAGTTTTCATGCTTGTAAACTGTTTAATAAATGTAACCAAAGCCATCAAAGATTGAGGAAAGATGTACACGTTCGTAAATACTTGCGAACTGCTTCGTGAATCTGGCCCCTGGGAGTTAGGCAACTGTTGTGGGTAATATCCTGGAACAGATCAGAAGTTGGTCTAGGAAGACTGCCATAAACCTAACGCCTTTCCTGACTCCAACAAAGGGAACTGCAACAGCAAAGTGCAAACATTTTTACAATAGCAATAAAAATTGGACAATACTACCAAGACTTAGTTATGATTTACCAAGAAAAATGTCAATCTTGATTTGGTCAAATGGGGTAGCAAATTTGATATGTTTGAGGGTGTCCCACCGAACAGCAGCTGCGGCCAAGGAATCAGGGTCTTGAGGGATTACACACAGACTCAAACTGGAATCCATGCTTCCAATCAGACGAAGGATGGATAATTGCACACGTCTCATTGCCGTCTCGTCCACCTACAGCAGCAGAAGATAGGGTAAAACTGATTTAGTCAACACATAGCCTATAGTTTTAGGCAGGTAAATGACGTGATAATTAATTTTTATTAAAGAAATTATCGTTAACTTTACTTCAAATACATGTTATACAAGTGATTTTGTGTTAGGTTAAAGTTGCCAAGACTTTAAAAGAAAAAAAATTCACATTCCTCCTTACTGAAACATCAAGAAATCATAGTTGTCCATAGTGCTAAACACACTATGTAAACAATTGTGTTAATTGGTAAAAATTCAGATAACATACCTTAAGATCAAGTGAACAAATAATACACAAAAACAAGTCCATGGTGAATAAATGTGGGCATCCCGAGTGTAGGCCCAGGTCCCATGTACCCACAGGGCGTGTGAACTTACTAGTATGTTTCCAACAAGTGTAATAAGGGAATGCGGATCTAGGAATTAGTAATAGAGAAAGTAAATACTATTGCAAGTCAGAAATTAAGCAGAAAATCCCCTATGGTAATACGGGCAAATTAATATATCTATGTTATAACTCAAATAACCGGCAACTGACTGCTTCCAACCCACTACTTGGGACAACGTGTCAAAACTGTACACCCCACTGTGACCCTCACCCTCAACCGTGTGATAAGTACTTGCCTATAAAGTTGAACAAATAAACATATATATATTATTATAAATATACTGTATACATATAATATTATAAATACATACTGTCTCCACTCGATTATCCAGACTATATGGGAAGGACATCCAGCCGGATAATCACTTTTTCGGATAAGAGTACTTTTTCACCTCTGAGTCTAAAAGGGACCATTTCCAACAATTTTTATACCACACTCATGATTTGAATTAACGCACACTAATTAGTGTGTGGGGCTGGGTGGGTGGTTAGCTGCCTAGCTGGTAGGTGGGCAAGCAGGGATAGGTGGGCAGGGGAAGTGGGGTGGGGTTCAGGCAGGGATAGGTGGGGTTCAGGCAGGTGGGTTTTGGATGGGTGGCTGGCAGGCAGATGGGCTTGGTGGGTCAACAGGTTTGAGCAGGCAAGTAGGTGAGTGGGTGAGCAGGAAGGTGGGTGGGCTATCAGGCAGGTGGGTGGGCGAGCAGGCAGGTGAGTAAGTGGGCATGTAGGTAAACAGGTAGGTGGGCAGGAAAGTGGGTGAACAGGGGGGTGGGTGGACAAGCATTCAGGTGGGTGGGTTATCTTGAGGTTATCTTGAGATGATTTCGGGGCTTTAGTGTCCCCGCGGCCCGGTCCTCGACCAGGCCTCCACCCCCAGGAAGCAGCCCGTGACAGCTGACTAACTCCCAGGTACCTATTTACTGCTAGGTAACAGGGGCATTCAGGGTGAAAGAAACTTTGCCCATTTGTTTCTGCCTCGTGCGGGAATCGAACCCGCGTCACAGAATTACGAGTCCTGCGCGCTATCCACCAGGCTACGAGGCCCCTAAAGGGTGAGGGTGGGCAAGCAGGCAGAAGGGTGGGCGAGCAAGAAGGTGGGTGAGCAGGAGGGTGAGTGAGCAGGTGGGCTGGCAGGTGAGCATACAGGCAGGTGGGCGGGTGGGTGGGCGAGCAGGCAGGTGGTAAACAGGTGGGTGGGTTGGCAGGAGGGTGGGTTGGAAGGTGGGTGGGCGAGCAGGCAGGTGGGTGGGTGGGCAAGCAGGTGGGTGGGTGAACATTCAGGTGGGTGGGTGGGCAAGCAGGCAGGTGGGTTGGTGGGCGAGCAGGCAGGTGGGTGGGTGAACAGGTGAGTGGATGAACAGGTGGGTGGGTGAGCAAGCAGGTGGGTGGGTGGGTAAACATTCAGGTGGGTGGGTGGGCAAGCAGGCAGGTGGGTGGGTGAACAGGTGGCTGGGTAGGCTATCAGGCAGGTAGGTGGGCGAGCAGGAAGGTGGATGAACAGGTGGGTGGGTGGGCAAGCAGGAAGGTGGGTGAACAGGTGGGTGGGTTGGCAGGTGGGCATGCAGGCAGGTGAGTGAACAGGTGGAAGGAGGAGTAGGCAGGTGGGTGGGCGAGCAGGAAGATAGGTGGGCGAGCAGGAAGGTGGGTGAACAGTTGAAGAAGCAGGCAGGCAGATGGGCGAGCAGGCAGGTGGGTGAACAGGTGGATGGGTTGGCAGGTGAGTGGGCGAGCAGGCAGGTGGGTGGGTTGGCAGGTGGGCATGCAGGCAGGCGGGTGGGTTGGCAGGTGGGTGGGCAAGCAGGTGGGTGGGTGAACATTCAGGTGGGTGGGTTGGCAAGCAGGTGGGTGAACATTCAGGTGGGTGGGTGGGCAAGCAGGTAAGTGGGTGAACAGGTATAAATATGCCAAAACTAGAAGACAGAAGAAAAAGAGGTGATATGATCACTACATACAAAATAGTAACAGGAATTGATAAAATCGATAGGGAAGATTTCTTGAGACCTGGAACGTTAAGAACAAGAGGTCATAGATATAAACTAGCTAAACACAGATGCCGAAGAAATATAAGAAAATTCACTTTCGCAAACAGAGTGGTAGACGGTTGGAACAAGTTTAGGGAGAAGGTGGTGGAGGCCAAGACCGTCAGTAGTTTCAAAGCGTTATATGACAAAGAGTGCTGGGAAGACGGGACACCACGAGCGTAGCTCTCATCCTGTAACTACACTTAGGTAATTACACTTAGGTAATTACAGGTGTCTGGGTGGGCTATCAGGCAGGTGGGTGGGCAAGCAGGAAGGAGGGTGAACAGGTGGGTGGGTGGGCTATCAAGCAGGTGGGTGGGCGAGCAGGCAGGTGGGTGGGTGGGTGAGCAGGCAGGTGGGTAGGTGGGCGAGCAGGAAGGTGGGTGGGCAAGCAGGAAGGAGGGTGAACAGGTGGGTGGGTGGACTATCAAGCAGGTGGGTGGGCAAGCAGGAAGGTGGGTGGGCAAGCAGGCAGGTGGGTGGGTGGGCGAGCAGGAAGGTGGGTGGGCGAGCAGGAAGGTGGGTGGGCGAGCAGGCAGGTGGGTGGGTGGGGGAGCAGGAAGGTGGGTGAACAGGTGGGTGGGGGAGCAGGAAGGTGGGTGAACAGGTGGGTGGGCGAGCAGGAAGGTGGGTGAGCAGGAGGGTGAGTGAGCAGGTGAGTGAACAGGTGGGAGGAGGAACAGGCAGGTGGGTGAACAGGTGGCTGGGTTGGTAGGTGAGCATGCAGGCAGGTGGGTAGGTGAACAAGTGGGTGGGGAGCAAGACTGGATAGAGACAGATCAAACGTCCTGCCTGGTCACCCCCTCCCCCCACCTCACACTGGCCTTCCCATCTCCCGTCCACGTGTGTCAACACGTGGATATTGAAACACTGTACGATGACTTAACATATGCGCCTTAAGTTCTGTTAAATCCAATTTTATTTTCTTGTAAATATTTAAATGAATAAATAGCAAACCAAATACTGTATTGTACAGTTCAACTATTATAGTGTTATTTATTATTTGTAACTAGCTCTCCACAGCAATAAGAAAATAATACAATTCTTGCAACACCTCCAATGCCACCTTCCTTGGTAGGCTTAATCCCTTAACTGCTCGGCTTCCAAATATGACCTCCCCCCCCCCCAGTGCACAGGAAATAAATTCTCTTGAAAAAACCAGCGTTGAATGTAATGAAACGCCATTTTCTGGGTGAGCCCCGGAGGCTCCCTGGAGCTTATCGGGCTAATGTATGTTATATAAGACCGGGACATTAGCTAAGGAGTTCAGACCTATCAGAGACCAGTGCCAGAATCTGGCCCCTTCAGAGAGGTTTCAGGAGGCAATGGCACTGGAAAACCCCCTTGAGGTTGGGGTTTTTCTTATCTGCCATCAACCGGGGTTAGACACCCAGAAAGGTACGCATAACAAAACACACCCCACATGGTAAAAACAAACAAAAAACCGAACAGAGAGGTAGAAACTCCCTACAATCCCAAAGGAAACAAGCAAACATCACACTTTACTGCCGCGCCGATCGTCCGCCCAGCGCTCCCCACCCCGAGAGGGGAAGGGGAGCCCCGGACCTATTACGCCTGCTGCCTGGCTTCAATTCGGAAGCTAAGCTTCATCCAAAGCAAAAAAAAACGTCGACTGGTATGAGGGAGGGTTGCCAGGGAGCCTCCGGGGCTCACCCAGAAAATGGTGTTTCATTACATTTAACGCTGGTTTTCTGTGGGGAGCTCCTACAGCTCTCTGGAGCTTCATACCCAAAGAGAAGGAAAAGAAAGGGCTAACCTGGGAGGCGGCCGCCACAAACTACGCACCGCAAAGCCGAGACAACAGGCTGCAACCCAAGGCAACAAGAACGCACAAGAGCAGACGCACATAAAAAATGGGCGGCCAAGAACCTGTGCGACCCTGAAATCCCTGCACTCGAAATTAGCCCTAGACGTCACCAACACAGCAGCAAAAGCTGCAAACATCCGAACAGCATGGGCGCAGGGACAGACCGCAGGCTGGAAGACTGAAAAACTCTGCGGACAACCTGGGAGACCTGAGCCCTGAAACAGGTAACGAGGGGAACCGGATCAACTCAAAGCGCATCCCAGACACGGTACGCAGGCGGTGAAAAGCTCAACCGGACAACACAGGACGCACCCCCGGCCAAACCTATCAAGCATCAATAACCCAAGAACCACTCTGGAAAGCAGCCGTCTTGACCATCACTAGGACGGAGAAAGGCTGCAAACGTACAAACCTACCACCAGTACCAAAGAGCAGAAACCTGAACCGAAGAGGCTACCACCATCTTTGAAGAAGATAAGAAGGCATCCTGATCAAGGACCAGGACGGCTCAAGCGACGCATGAGCAGGCCGGAAATGAAACAAAACACGAGAAAGCGTACGAAACGGGGCAGATGTGATGTCCACCCCAAACGCAAGCCGGAGCAGCTCCGCCAGCGCCGCACAAAACAAGGCGACAGTAAGAAACATCCAATAACTGTAGTCCTGAAAACCCAAGAAAGGACAAGACAACCCGTTGCGAAAGAGAAGACAACCTACGAAGAGCAAGAAAAAGTGCATAGAAACA